CTTCACCCAGAGTGGCTCCGGCATCATTCTCTGTCGAAGTCTTACAACCCGAAAATTTACAATTGTCAGGTCTTTTTCGCCAGCGTCTAACCTAAGTTGTAGTTCTTTTTCGGCTTCCCATCTTTTTACACGGTCTGTCAACGGCAAGTCTTTACGGATAAAAACTCCTGAACCCTTTAATTTATGTCCATTCTGTAAAATTAGGTCGCGTTCGTTCGAAGATTCGAATACTACATTAAGCAGTCTGGATTGATTTGGTTTCAAGTTCGCTAGACTCCCTAGTCTGTACACCTTTAGCAAGGTCAACCCGGTGATATTTCGAGGCATGAGTTGATTAAGCAGCTGTTTAATCAGCACAATGTCATGCTTAAAACGAGCTTTTGGTTCAGAGCTCTCGCTCTCCTTGATTCTATGAAAAATATCTGATCTGTCGCTGTGATCAGCCTTCGATTTCTCGACTACTTTGATGGGGGCAGGATTGTCTTTTATATCGCTACGTTGTTTCTGCCTTACAACCTGTACCCATCCGTCAACGGTGCTGGTAGAAGCAATAACAGTTGCGTCAAACCTAGTGTTGGATTTGGGGGGGTTGTCGACGACCTAAGAGGTCCGGTTATGTTTACCGCTTGGAACCGATCGAGCCTTGCGATTGAGGCTTCTAGGTGTTTCCTGTTGTATCCCATCTGGGAGACGGGGAACAGAAGACCCTACTTTTCTTGAGCTTTTGTTTAAGGCAGGGCCCTTTGGAGACTGCTTTTGTTTCTTTGATCGGTGTGAGTCACCTATTTTCGAACTCACCTGAGTTTGCTTCATATCAATTTGCGTGTCGACAGATCGAGTGCTGTTTGATGTGTCCCGACTAAGCTTTCTAAAACACTTTTTCGCAGAATCTAGCAGTAAGATGGCCTCGGTTAGCAAGCTGTTTGCATCCGAACAGCATTATTGACAAAGCCATACGCAACCCTTTTTACTGAACCGTTTGGAAGCCGCAGGCGTTAAATTCGTGCAAACTTTGTGGTACCAGCCTTTGCACTCATCGCACTGCATGCAGCTTTCAACGGGATAATGACAACCCGGACGTTGGCAATTGCTGTTTTTGCACTGTCCAGTCATTAAACAGGGTGTTTTTTGATGAAAAAACTAGATGCAACAATGCTCAGAGACGAAAATGATGTATGACGAAAAAAATTGGAAAACGGTCAAAGGTTGTCAATAAATATTAGTCTCAGCGCTCTTCCATCATGTCTGTTTCGACTGGTGCATGATGTGTTGTATCGGAGAATCCAGCTTTTCTCTTTGTGTATGTTGAGACCTACTGCTGCTGCTATACTGGCTGTATTCTCCTGCATTTATTGTTGCGTGTGCGATAGAAGAACAAAATCATTTGTAGAGACTATATCGTACAGCTGTATCCCGTGCTTCCCCCGCAGATGTTGGTATCTTCATAATCCAGTCGATCGCCAGGAGATAAAGAAAGGGTAACAACAACCTTGCCTGACACCGGTCTTTACCTCGAACGAGTCTGTCAACTGTCCTCTATGCACGATTTTGCACTTTAATTCATCATAGGAATTCCGTATAATATTGACTGTCTTCTCAGGCACGCCATAGTGTCGAAGAAGCCTCCACAATGTTGTCTGTCCGCGCTATCAAATGCTTTCTCATAGTCAATAAAGTTGATGTAGATTGGTGAATTCCACTCAATTGATTGTACTGCGATTGTCCGTAGTGTTACACTTTGGTCTGTACATGATGGATCTTTACGGTATCCAGCCTGTTGGTCTCGAAGTTGGGCGTATACGGAGTCCTTCATTCTGTTTAACAATACCCTGTTGAGGACTTTTCCTGGTATTGGGAAAAGAGTGATGCCCCTGTAGTTCTCACACTTGCTGAGATCGCCTTTCTTTGGTATCTTGATCACGCGTCCTTCTTTCCAGTCTGTTGGTACTTGTTGTTCATGCCAATTCTTGCTGACGAGAATGTTGTGTATCTTTGCAGTTGCCGCTACATCTAATTTCAGTACCTCTTCTGGAATGTTGTCTGGTGGCCATGCTAACCTCTTCAATTGGTGAGCCAACATCGATTGTGAGGCCCGTGGGTGCTGCTCCGATGTTGAATGGGTACAGTGGGGCTGGTCGATTTAACAGTTCCTTGAAGTGCTCTACTCACCTGCTTCGCTATTCGTGAATGTTGGTGATTACTTTACCTTCCTTGCTTTTCACTGATCGTTCTGGTTTACGATAATTTCCGGCGAGCTTCTTTATTGTATCACACAATTGTCTCATGTTACTTCTCTTGCAATCTTTTCCGCTGCCATTGCTAGATCTTCCTTTTTTGAATCTTTTCCAGCGTATCAACCGTGATCCATTCCTTGTGATGGTGCTTCCTGTGGTCCAGAACCTCATGACATGTTGAAGTGATTGCCTCCTTTATCCCTTTCCAGTTGCCCTCCTTATTAGTTCCCTCTCTATTGAGTAGATCGTGAAAGGCCTGGAACCCACTGCTGGGGACTATCTTGAGCTCGTTGAGTTTGTCCGTATCCTAAAAAAAGCCGTATTAAAGTTTTGTGGTATCTGCTTCGTTGTCCAGTGTGCTTCCTGAGTTTCAGTTTCATCTTGACAACCAGCAGATGATGATCTGATGCTATATCAGCCCCTCTATCGGTTTTTACGTCCTGCATTGTCCTTCCGGACTATTTATTGATGCGGATATGGTCGACTTAGTTCTGTGTAGTGTGATCCAGTGAAATCCATGTGGCTTTGTGTGTGCGTTTATGTCCCATGATATTTTCATACCTGATGTTGTCCATTCCGACTTTAGCATTTACGTCTCCCATCAGAATGGTCACGTCCCTTGTTGAACATTTCTCAACGATTGACTACAGTCTATCGTAGGATTGATCTTAGACGTCTTCATTGTAATCGTTGGTAGGTGCACAGCAGTAGATGACGTTCATTGTAATGCCCTCTTTCTTTGTTTCAAAGGAGGCTTTGATGATCCCGGGTCTTTGAGATTCTCATCCTATGAGTGCAGTTTGTGTTTGTTTTGATAGCATCAATGCAACTCCTTGTGTATATGGGGCATTTTCTTCTTCATGGCCGGACTATAATAAAAGCTCCCCTGAAGCCAGTCGTTGTTGTTCAACCTGCGTCTAGTGTGTTTCACTGAAATCAAGCACCTCCAGGTTGTATTTTTTCAGCTTCGTGATTTCCAAAGGAACTCGGCTTTCATCACGAGACGTCATAACTCTTCTAAATAAAGATCTAACTCATAGGTCAGAGTTTGAATGGTTTGAGTTATTTTTCCGGTTAGCGTTTTCGTTTTCTACGAGGTGGGGTCACTAATTCCATGCCCAGCCCTTCTCTTTGGTCCGGCAGTAGCCCCAGAGGTGCACCAGGCAGAGTTGATAATTCAACAAATTTAAACACAATACATGAGTGAGTATGACTCGAGATCGCACTTATGGAAATCATCCCCGTTTCGTAATGCCAAACTCCAAATGAAAGTCGGTCATATTGGGTCTTTGTCTCACTAAGTCGCAATTTTTTTACTGAATATGAAAATAAGGATTGTATTTAGGATTTCACAATAAATCTTGATACTAATGTACATCCAATGCTTTCTTTATTCCAGAAAATGTATAATTAGTGGTGGACACAGGTTTCTTTTTTCGGATATCGCAGTTTGTATATTAAAGACAAGAATTCTAAATACATGATTTTTGAGTTCCTGGTTATCAAGATTAGGGCATTTATAATTGGGCTAGAAATTTTATAATGAATAAAGTAAGATGGTTACTTCTGAAGAATATCCTGATAACGTGGTTGGTAACTGTTGAAATTGCGATTATCTGGTCACTGCTCAGACACCGTATTCTAATGTTCGAAATTCTGCTAGGTCCTTGAAAACTGATGTCAATTCCATTTCTGTTACGATATTCTAAAAATCTAGTTAGGGAAGAAGATGAACTCGCGATGGAACGAAAAAAATATCAAATATTAGCAAAACCATCAAAATGAAAGACTGTTCGGATATTAAGTGATTGGAGTCTAAAAAGGTTACATACTATCGTCGAGATTTTTCCTGACTACCTGCAGGAATTTTGCTGAATGGCGTCGGCCGAATCATTTCGCACTTAAGGGATAATGATTACCTTACTGATCATACTCCCATATTGATGGAATACACTTTCAAGACCTGTCTAAGTACGTCCTTGGTCTAAACGTTAATTCTAAACTTGAGTCTATTCTAGATGATACGGAAGCTACCTCCAGTACTGAGTCTATCATACATTCAACTAATTTTTATTGGAGACGTAATGTAAACTACTAAAATCCAGATATTTATTGAATCTCCAAAGAATATGTTTTTATGGTCTTTACTGATAGATTATGATATCACAGTTCAACTGTCTCTGAAGTATATTCATAAATATAAAATTCTCAAATATTACTAATATACAGGGAAAATATGTATGTAACTTATCGATATAGAAGAAGCAGAACGATACTGTAATGTGAATCAATTCTCAATCATATTGATCCATAATGAGGGTGAATATTATAAACAATCGTATTGATGATAAGTAGGAAATAAGACACTTAGCCATGTATCAATATTGACCGTCCGCTACATATATAGTATCAAAATTATTCAACCCAACAATTCGGAAGCTCATCTGGTTTCAGACCTGACCGGTGATGTGTAGACAAAATATCCTCCCATCGTCAGGTTCTAGAGAAGACATACTTCCCGATATCTGGCTACAGTATTATTTCTTAACCCCAAGGCAGTACTTGACTCTGAGATGGTTGGGCCACGTGTTACGTATGCCCGGACACCGATTACTACGACGTGCAATGCTAACTGGTGTTTGGGATGGTTGGAAGAAAGTTAGGGGCGGCCAAACCAAAACGTGGCATCAGTGCTTCAGGTCACTAACTTGTAGTTTGAGCCATGTTGGTAGATGCAGACTACTTGGTTGGGGTCCACGTGACTATCGTAACCAATGGTTGGAGACTCTTGGTGACATGGCTCAGAATCGATCAGAATGGCGTCGGTGTATACACTGTCTGTCTTCCCTTAAACTAAGATTAAATCGCTTCATATCTTTCTTTCTATGAACTAATTCTTTCTTCCCGTACTATATCCTTATTGCAATCTTTCTTTTATATATTACCACTGAATCAACTACTTTTATGAATCCGGTGTCCGTCTTGTTGTGTTAATGAGGTATGGCAACTTGGACCGATGCATACATGTGACTGGTCCTACGTTGTAGCTGACTGACGACTCTGCAGAACGAGATTATCTGTGTCGAAGTTTGCCATTGAAAAGCATACCAAAGTAAATTAAACTTGTGTAGAATTTTGTCAAATGCTTTTGGTTAAGTATAAGCTTACGGTGTACTGTTAATATTGAGTGGTATTCGTCATGTTTATCCACTAACTGTCTTAATTTCTTCATAGATCTCCTACCAGAAATAAAGTTTCGCTTGACTTTCTAGGGGTTGATCTACCACCAGATGTTAACTTGTCAACTTAGATTATGCGGATGAAAGTCTTACATGGTGAAGATGCTTGCAAAATGTGGGGTCTTCCAACCACCTGAAGCAACAATGCATTTTTGGAATGCGTTCCTCTCACTATAAATGCAAACTATTGCTTCAGGAGTGGTTTACAACAACATCTGAATCGGCAAAAGGGAATACAGTATTTTAGCTTCACTTATTGTCAAAGTTTCATTAGCCTTGAGGGTTTGGTGTCCGACAAAATGTGGACATGGAATCAGAAAGGTCGGTTAACCTTCGTCAATTTGCGTCACCTGTAGACTAGGTGAGATATCTATCTGTCAAAGAAAGGACGAGTTTGCTGCTCAGCGGTTGGCTTTGCTAATAAGAAACATGAACTTTGAATTTGTAGGTTGTCAGTATTCGATCAAACATGCCTTCAAACCATAGCTAGTATATCTTAGGACTATCGAGTTAGCAATTCTGAGGTTAGATACAGAGTACTAGGTATAAATGGAAAACCGGTTGGTGAGTTTGCGAATCTTCGTCGATTACGATGGTTGGGACATATTGCATACGTCTAGCCACCATCTACCTCGCCGCGTGATGATTCCTGGTGTAAGAGCGGATTGGTAACTTGACGAGGCCAAACTAAGACAAAGCATAAGTCTATGGGTTCTGTGACTGTTGGACGGAAGTGTATATTTAGGTGCAGACTAACTTGTTCAGATCCACACGATCATCGTAACAAGTGATTGGAAATTCCGGGTGATATGGCTTGCAATCGTTTAAGTGCATTCACTCCTAGAAACTGAATCTCGAAACCTTCTTAGACATTTCTCTAGACCTATATTTTTCTGTTTGTACTGATTCCGATGTGTTACTGTCATGTGTTGTAGTAGTTTTATCTCGGTATGCTGGTAAGGAATGGTAACTTGAACCAAACACATGTCAAGTTTCATATTGCATGCGACTGACTGGTGCCAACCGGTAAAACTGGACTGCTATCCCCATAGGCATATGTTATATCCGAGCGAAGATTAAATTACGAGAAACTTCTGAGACATTAATTGGCTAATATTATCTATCTATTCTTATGGTGTAACTATTCAATCTAAGAACCATTTAGTAAATACTTCAGTTGTAAAATGTCAGTCAATCGTCTCAGATTTCATTGTTCTTCCGTTTCCACACCAATTATTCTTTGTACTCGTTCTCTTCGATCTTATTAACATTCCGCTTCAGGGTATTTCACTTTATTATTTCACATTATTACAGCATTTAATACGTTGTACAGAAATTGTCAAGGACGAGTTCTTAAGTTTATTTCACTTTCGATTGATGATGATACATGCTACTTATATCCATCGACATCAGTAACACATTAGTATATCCGAGCGAACATTAAATTACGGGTAACTTCCGAGGAGTATTAATTGACTGGTATTATCTATGCATTCTTATGGTAAAACTATTCAGTAACTAGATTATGTATATTTATATTCTTCTTTTTATAAGCTTTATTTTGACCTATAATTTATTATTGTACGATTTACGGTTCTTAAGTTATGTTCAGTTTATTGACTACTACCTCCCACGTTCACAACCACATTTAGCCAAGTATTGTACAAATGTTATTTTCTATTTTATGGTACCTTGTGGTCTGTCTGGTTGATATATAAACCGAGTATGTCTGAACTAAACGATTCGATTCATATTGCAGAAGCTGGTATTGTGTTCTGGACTCAAGTGGACGGGGTAGACGGACATAGGACGAATAAGGACGCTAGATTGCTCATACCGGTCGAACGTCATTGGTTTTGGCACAGTGCTAAGATTGTATAAGTCGTATTTTGATTGGTGGACAAATCACGTGATAAAACCAAGACATAAAATCCTAACAATATCTAAGTTAGTTCACCATAGTTCCGTACTCCCTTACTTCAGCCTGGCTATAGCATTCTTAACGTCCTTAGCTATGGACTTATGTTGACCTCCTATGAACGTTGTCTGTTAATAGTAGGTAGCCGGAGGCCAGTTGAACTACTCAGATGCTCCGTCTGTCATTCCCATCATCTGGGTTGAGGTCACGATGCGGAATTCCTCAGAGATAGTCTCATTCGGTTTTCGAATATTTGCCTGATAGGCTCGGGTTGTTTGGCGTTACTGACCGTCGATGCCTTTTCCATTTTTCTCACTCCATCACTGGTTACAATTACTGCACAGACTCATTGTTGGTTTACGTTTGTGTCTTTGCAAATTATAATATTCAGGGCATGGGGTCGGTCATCTAGTATCGACCAATGCAGTAGACCCCAGATACCATGCAGTCTTTCTCAACGATTTAGTGCTTTGAAGATGGCTTTTTCGGAAGTAGAACCTAAGAGATACAGCCGCCAGATCGGACAACACTGGTGTTGAGTGGGTAAGACTACCGAGCTGTTTGGCCGGGCCAGTTACACAAACCTGGAATTTTTGGTCCAGTGTTAAAGAATGCATAACTGATGATAAGACTATCCGTGCCTAGCAAAAAACTTGGGCCTAGTCACAAAACTGCTAAATGTTCGTACGGATTATGATGATTCGGCAATTAGTAGTACAAGTAGAAGTACTGAGAAACTTTACTTATACGTCCATAGTTGTGCACAACTACATGGTTGCATAACACCACTGTGACTCTGACTAACTATACGAAATCTGAGATATATGAGAGTTACAGAACAAAACAGTCAATGAGTGCTAGCGATGGTTTATCCAACCATTATTAGCAGGAAATCACCTGATGTACGTTGGGATCGTAATCGTATCCCTTGAGACGCCGATCACTAGTGAGGATCTTCAGAAGGACTGGTAAACCGTGATATCGTCAAAGGTTGATTTGAACCGCCACGACACCGATTAACAGTCAGACACTAACCAGTTCGTCAGTCAAACACAACGAAGAACCTGACGTCGGAATTCATAAACTCAAGATCAAAGAGAAGATAGTAGATTCACTTGAGCTATTTTGAGCCATTTCATGAAAAGTTACGAACCAATGGTTGCAAATCACAACTGTTCAGCGTCTTAGTGGCACCTTAGTATTAAGAACTAAATCCAAGCATACTTTAAATTTGCTATGCTTCATTTACTCCGTAGCAGTATCTAGGCATTGGAAAGTTAAGTGTTGCATGTTCCCAGCTTTTTTATATTAAACGGTATGAAGAAAAATTCTAGTCAGCGGCAAAAATAGATTAAGTAATAAACTGACGATCACAGACGCTGAACACAAACGCCCTACAGTTATAAAGCCATTGAACAATCGACCATCCCAAAAGATTTATTTTCACCATGCAATGGGGACTAGGTGATTGCACAAATTGAGAACACCTGTATGTGGAAAAACAATTCTTAGCTCCAGTGTAAGGAACAATTAAAGCAACATGTGTTTGGAGAACGCATTCGATAGTGAAGATATGCACGGAAAAACATGCCATTTGTTTTGTAAGCACTTTATTTATACAGAAACATGAATATGTATGTTGACAAAATGTCACAGCACGAGCTGAGTATGACACCAGACCACAAAATTATCAAAAGCAGAGAGTGGTTAAAGTTATTACATTAGGTCGTATATCTACGAAATGGAAAAAAAGTACGCATTCACACGCTGACTATTGCAAATTTAAATCAATTGAAAGTTGAAGGGTGGGTATATCTGAAAATAAAATGTTAACAAACATGTGTTGAAATCATGAATTTAAGAGCGCGTAAATATGTAAAAAGAAAGGTGTTTCTCTCAGATTAGGTTTCATAGAATAAGATTTTGTACCATATGGTATGGACATAGAATACTTAATTCTCAGAGACTATAGTAACAACTTAACTGTTTTGTGAAAAAAATAAACTTGTTTGACGGCAGGTAGCTGATAAGTGCAACTTATAACCAATCACAGAAGTCAACTAACGATGTTAGTTTTTGTGTACAAGATAAAAAAGTTGATGAGACTTACTTCTGGTTGATGTTAGACTGGGAAAACGATGAAAAGTTCAAAGGATTAAAACTGTTGGACGAGTGCGATCCAGAAGAAACCAACTGTTTTTGAATGCCAGTTAAAGTATGTTGATATTGTTGTTGTAGTAAACTAAATTGGTGCATCAAAGCAAAGGCAGTCGTTTGCTGCAGACTACTATTCGTCTCAGTTGGAAGTGAACATTGAAAGCCAGGCGGAGTAGGAAGAAGGCCAACATTATTGTACCCAGTTTGAAAAGAAAAAAGAGGAGGATGGGGAGGAATATAAGATAATCTATTGGCAGTCACTGTTGCACTGCGCTGTTGTAAATTCTGCCGAATGCCGTTTGATGTAGAATGTGAATGTTGTTGAGGCTTTCGACCAACACCGATATCCAGAGTCTGTTTGCTACTCTGGGACATGGAAAGTTGAACTCCGCTGTGGTTAGTGAACAAGTGACTGGCTGTCATTTCCGAAGAGTTACTTTGAACACTAACCTCCACGTTCTGAGTCGTGGGAATGGTGGATGCAATTGATTTATCCTGTTTTGTAATAACACTGTTGGTATCGTCTGTCATTTTCACTGGATTAGACCTTCATCAGGAGATAAAACGACATTAAAGATAAAACGGTAAAATATGACAAATGAGAACATCCATTTGCAACCACTGAAAAAACTTACGGAGTTTATGAAACTGCTTTAGTTTGCGTAAGATACGAAGCATACTACTCGTCTGAAAAAACATACTAAGTACGAAGATCAGTGGGTCTTTAAACCTGACAGGTTTGTAAACATGTAATTACACAAATCCCATGCACTTAAGTAATTTTCAACAAAGATCACACGGTAGCAACTTCTATGTGGAATCCTATGAATACAATTTTGGAATAACTACATGTGCATTCTTAAGAATTTACATTATTTGGGAATGCTTATTTATTTATTTAAACAAAAATATTGGCATGATGAGGCACTAAATACGTTCGTCACACAAATCGAATGATTTGTGTGAACGATGGGACACTGCCGGGATGCCTTAACCGAAGCAGGTGGTTTACTCACGGCGCCACACCATGAGTTTTTGAACTGAAGGTATAATACACAAGCCAGTGGAGCAGCACTAGAAGATGCAGTCCAATGTTAGCCGTTAACCAATAATTGGTTTATACGCCATTTGTTCCCTCAGGATCCTGGAGCCCATGCGGTTTGGGATCAGAATTTTCCAAATCCTCTACGTGGACCTTTCGTACCCACCAACCGGGTTAGTGTGGGATATTCGCTTTTCGTTCTCTCAATTTTGTAAACACTGCGAGAAAGCAGTGAGTAGGACTTTCCTGATAGTGGCTGTATGCGCGTATTCATATACGAGCATTTCCAGAATGCTGACTCATCCAGTAATTTGGAGGTTACCGCATTATATTCAGAAGACCATACTTTCGGTGTAACTCAATAAACTACTACCGGACAAAAAACTATTTGGGGGTCTACATACTAATTTCTACCCGATGAAACCTAGTCTGTGGAAAGCTTTATATGAGGTGGTTAGTACAACTTAGGCAAGACCTCTTGATACGTTAAATCGGATAATCACAAAACCATGTATCACGACTTCATTTTAGCATGTTCGTCGGTGTTAAGATATTTATGTTCAGCTTATACTCAATGATTAAGGGATCATGGCAACTTATGGCTTGAAAACCAGTCCCTGATGTACAGCCTTGACTAGGTTTGAGGACTCCAAATTCCCGTCGAACCTTAAGGCAGACCAATGTAACTTACTTAACACTAACGAACTGTACAAGCCGCAAATCTTGGTCAGGAACACTTATGGCGGAGAGTCGTTTACATCATTATGAAATGCCTAGTGGCTAGTTACTCGTCATGCATGAAATGACAATAAGCCTGTTGTATCTCCTATGGTTCTTACTAGACAAAGGAAAGGGATTTGAGAAGCGAGAATAGATCGCTATATTGCGTGTACACAGAACTGCAGGTCCTGTCAGGACGACCTTTCCAAAGGACTGTACGCATGCAGAAGTGAAATAAGAAATAATCAACATGAAGCTTTAGCCTGTTCCAAGAACAGACATGAATAAGTAGGGAGTGGGAAAAACGCATCATTAATGTAATTCGAAGTTTTACAGAGCAATTATGAAATCTAAAAATGTTTTGCGGTACTGCTTACCAAAAACATTCTTAGATTTTACTGTCACAAGACCGTTACACTTACTCTATTAACTCTTTAGTCTCTACCTTAGTTGACTCCGGAGTGGCAGACCCCATGATCCTTTTCCGAGCAGCAGCATAGTCTGCTTCCCTTTGTTCAAGTGTTTTTGTGACTATCGGTGGCCTACAAATATGAAATTTTTCACAAAATTGCTAACCTCTGTGGTGTATTAGGAACGTCAGATGGAACTGGACATGGTCGTCTCAATATTCGGATAGGTGGTTGGTCCATATCAAATAAAGCTATATGTAAGTTAATAGTTGGCTTACTATTGCCTAGACAGTTCGCAAAAGACAGCCATTAATTTTTTGGTCGTGAAAGCATGATCCGATGATTGACAGAGATGCCAACATTCGACTGAGTAAGGTGTTAAAAGATAGAATTGATAGCTTAGATAACAACTAGTGCAACATTCATACTGCCCAGAGAGTTTAGTGAACCAATACAACCAAACAAATGTAGCACATTACGAAGACATGAGGAACAACGTCTAGTTCATTTGGCATTTTAGCAACATTATTTTGCCGATAAACAGGTTTCCAGCGCCTATATTTTAACCTTAATGAGTTATTTCAAATCTTTAGTAGCATAGCACTACAACAGATAGTGCACATTTGTGACCTAATCTAAAATACTTAATCAAAGGAACTGTTCCATGTTTTAGTGAGTAGGCTGACACATTTGACTGCGGATAGAGACAATGTTAGTCACAGGTCTTACACCTTTTCTGCTAATATCAACCGAGAATTCAAAGTGAACTTATATTGACAGATTGAGAGGTTTCCAAGAATTCGTGGGTAGAGGCCTCAACGTCGTGAGTATCTAAGAAGACAACAAGCAAACTTACAAACACGTCAAGAGGTCTGTATATTTCTCTATGAAAGGAGACGAATATAGGAGACAGTATATTGGCTTGTGATGAGGTTTTAAAACCAGAAAGTCGGAAATATTTCTAACTCATCCATCAGATATGAAGAAACGTTCGTTGATGATACTTTGAAACATACAACACGGTTATATTCAAGCGTACACCAAAGGACTAACCGGAACGTTATTTCAGTAATATGACGCCGGTGGAAGTTGACTACGACAAACATCAGTTATTCTCAATCTACTGTGGCGACCAATGTGTGTTAAAGACTTTTGTCTCTCAAGTACAAATAACATCTGGTATCCACACTCTGAATGCGGTGACTAGTAGAAACTCGATGTATTTGATCTGTTAAGTAAATTCGACATTAGTAAACCAGTTAGACGGAACGAAATGAATCCTAGTTGCTAAAGAAACACTCAGCCTTTATTGTGAGTCCCTGTATTAGATATCTCATGATACCTTTTAAACCAGAACATATCACAAATGAGCTAGCAGAATGCCATTATACAAAAAATGAATTTTAACTAGACTATTAGTCACTAATCTAAGAAGGACTACTAGTAAGAACACGCTTAATTATCATGATAAATAATTACAACAACTATCCTACAATCAAAGAGTAAGAATGTATTTGTAAAATCTCAGCGAAAGAATTTGAAGTAAATCCAACGTTTCACCTGGCAATCTGGTCCAAGCTTTTTCAAGGAAATATAATCAAACGTCAAGATTATCGAATATAAATAGGTACATGGCTCTCTGATTTGCTGTATACGGAATAAATCATCCAATCAGTGTTAACTATGTTTAAAGTAGGCATTTACATTAGTGTGTAAAAAACATGTAGTGTGAAACGAAAAGTGTTAAGGTGACAGATTGTGTGCATACGTGAGAAAGAGAAATTTCATTCACTATATATTGTCTTTGGTCGGTGAATATTAGGAAAACATAATTTTTATATAGGATATGAATCAAAAATATCACAGCATGAATTAAATGAAGTGAATAATATAAAAGAATGAAGAAGGATGTATTTGTTGTTGAAAGTTTTGTTATTTTTAATGTTTCGGTCAATTGTTTAACATATTCAGATATGATAACTGATCTGAGCCGTTGAATTTAATATCTGTTAATTAGTTAATGCGATAGAGATAGAATAGAAAAGGAGTTCAAGTCTACTTATTAATTATTAGTTGCCATGAAACATCTAGTTGTATTCCATCTCTCCTATTAATACTTTTTGGGTTAGTCATATATATGTGGGTATTCGGCTTTTAGTCATTCCTTGTTGGAATTAAAGCCTTTTCAAAGGATTCTTGGGCCATTGAAACCAATTGTATGATCCAATTTTATTCACTGTAATGCTATCGCTGATTTGTTTTCGAGTTTTCTTACCTGAAGTGAAGATTTAGGAATGTGCTTTAAGCATAGTTTGTGTTCCTTCAACCTCACATTCAGTTGCCTTGATGTTTCACCTACATACGTTGCGTTACGGTCACTACATTTGATTTGACTATAAATTTACCTCTGTATTCGCTCGCATATACTTATTCGCTTCTCTGCTCCGAATTCGCTTATGGCTTATGGCCTTGTGATCTGCTCTATCCGCTAATAAACTGTAGTTACTGCTTCTCATTGCCTTCTGATTTTAATCACTGTTGAGATTTATATTATAGCGGTTATCGATGTGATCGATCAACGAAGCAGAGGCACTACAACTTGATTCCCAGAAAAACTAGGTTATCCATGTTTTACGAACTTATAGGTTGCTTGATAGAGTTTATATGCTTTTTAAGACCAAAGACAACCTGTTGATTAAGGCTGCTGTCAAAGTTCCACACAACGGGCTATTATCTAAGCAACGTAATATCAGCACTATATTACCATACTTACGTGGATCAACTATTTTTGGTCGTACATCAAAAAGCAGAGGGGATTAACTTTTTATTACGATGCTTATTGGAATGCTCTATTGTACAATTTGGGAACTGATGTTATTCTTACTGTACTTGAATGACCTCTTTAGTATCCTGCCATCATCCATATTGTTTTATGTAGATGATATCAAGATATGGAAGTGAAAACAATATGAACGTAATGCTTGGGAGCCATTAAACGACCTACAGAAATGTTTGTATGAACTTGAGATTCCTTTGTACTTGATGACTGCTTTATTTCGGATTTCAAATACATTTCGTTCGTTCGTACTTATCTAGTACTTCTCGATTAAATTGAGTTGTTTCTGAGATTCATAGTTTGTATTAAAATTCAGATACTCCTAATTATCACAAGAAACTATGTGAATGATCTAGAATTTATCAATTGTTGATAAGTGCTTCCAATTGATGCACATGTGCTATCAAGGTATAAAACCATACGTAGTGAATAATTTTAAACTACTTTTTGTTCACACACTTGAAAATCCCTGTAAACTTTCGTGTGCTGAGTGCTAAAGGTTCTAGGAAACTGAAATCAGTACGTAGAGACTTTAACCACGAAGAGTTTTGCATTATTTGACTTTGTATAGTGTTCGATAGAACAAAACTTGAGTCTTGCATAGAAGCGACTAGCCCTTATCAGAAAAGACAGCTAGTTGTTGGAAGAATCACGAAAAGTGACAACTCATTTGGTTCTCAGCATCTTAAACTTGCACTGTACAGAGTCTATGCAAAATAAATTATACCTCTTATCATACACCACGTGTTATGAGGAGAGCAACCATTTTAAAACCTATTGTTAGTTAAATTTGCTTTTGCATTTTTTTGTACTCAAATAATACTTAGTAAACTGTGAATTAAATCATCCCGGCTAAAGTTAAAAAATTTTTAAAGTTCCGCTTGTGGTAAGCTCTTACGACCTGGATCTGTCTACCCACTTCTGGTGCTGAGGATAACTTATCTAATCTAGATTAAGACCTTGACGAATTAGGCTGACCGGCTCAACCATGAGGCTAGTACGCGTGAGTTCGAGGTGGGGCAGAGAGGAGAAAACTATTTTATCACCTGATTGGTGGACAAGCATGTGAGCGAGAAAAGACAAGACAACAAGAACACTACTCAATCTTTTCTCGATTTCCAGATTAATGTAAAAATGTACATGAATATATAGATGACTAAGCCGACCACAAAGTACAATAATTAGGAAGATACAATCATGATCAGAACTGGGGATTAGCGTAAAAAATAGAGTACAAAATATTATGTTTAAATTACAATAGCTTCTAAACAGAAAATGGTATTGCACTGAATCATACATCTAACGAAAGCTTATGTCCTGTGGAATAGATTAGGGACAAAAATAAATGTTATTGTTTTACGAGCTCTGAATAAGATGAAATAACGTCCTGAGAAATAGCTTTCGTATTTTGTCAGGGCTTCTTGTTTCTCTGTTCACATCATAACCGGTCCATGATCAAAAGTCTTGCGTGATATGATTTTGAATTCCCATTATTTTTTTGTTTACGTTGACTATATTTTGTGTTACTTTTTGTCTTGTGTTTTGGTTTACAAGTGAGAGGTAAATCTCATGTGATTTGTTTAGCAATGCAGACTGCATCCATAATCACACGTGTGTGCAGTCATGGACAACTTTGGTATTGGTACTACTATAGTAATAGACCTAATCCCGGAACTGTGATACACCATGATATAACCACCTAATCTACATGATCTTACGTGAAAGTCACATTATTATGTACACTGACTACCTCTACATGAAAATTAGCAACATGACGTCTAGCACTTCTGAAGAACACATTTATGCTGAGAAGAGACTAGTATTATAGAGTTATACTTCGTTATTAGCACTGCCCTAATAACAGACTTAATCCTAAAATTGTAGATTTGTAATGATGTAACTGCCTAATATATAAGGCCTTACGAGGATGTCACATCACTATCTACCCCGACTCATTCGTATCGTAGCAATCACCAATACATGATTGAGAACAAGCTTAGGCTAGAGATAGAACAATATATTTGATATGAATAAAACATACAACAACATTCAAGGATAGCCACGCCCGTAAGGCCGAGACATGCCATTCGACCATTTCGAATTCATTGCATTCATTGTTCTGGCCTTCTTCATCTTTGGGTTTTTCTATGCGGTGAGTGTTGAATATCTATTTCCCCAATTATTTCGTGTTCAGCTTTGAGTATTGTGTAGTTAGGGCCCAATGCTACTACAATGCCTCCAAAGTCTTACTCGAGGACACAACAAAACCGTCACATTTCCGGTTAGTCCTGACATGGCTGTCCCGAGTGAAATGAATAGGTAGTGATATTGGTTCCAACCACACCATCCTCAAAGCTGAACATGACATAACTGGGAAAATAGATATCCAATATTTAACACCGAAAGAAGGCCAACATTGCGGAACATGGGACAAAACTCAGCCTTGCAGGCGTAAACATTCTTGTGTAATTTATCTCTCATTCGTATTAAATATATTGTTCTTTCTGCGGCCTAAACGTATCCATCAGAAACGCTAAATATAATATTGCTGATTGTTATATATGACAAGTCAAACTAGATAATTATGTCACATAATATCCCCTAGATTAGGCTTTCACGTCATGCCAAATTTACAATTTCATGGTTAGGTTTATTACCATAGCAGTACTAATACCGAATTAGACCATAGTTCTATAAGTGAGCAACGACACAAGAGCAACGAAGTAACGAGAAAACCCCACTGACAGAGAAATGTTGACCGATAAGTGTCTTGTAATAACCCATTCTTGGTCACAGGATACTCTGTGACAAAGTTATAATGTAAGGTAATGTATAACCCTTGCGCAGAAAATAAGGGCTTGATTCTACTAGACGTTATTGTGATTAGTCTGATATAATTGAAAGACCACGGTATGAAAGCTAGACATGAGAATTACTCTAAAGGTCGAGGCGTTTATCTTTGTGTTATAACACTCTTTTCTTACGGTTATGACACAGTTATTCCTATTGCTAAGTATTCTCGGACACCGATTCACTCGACAAGTCCCCAAATCAAAACATGGTTGAACAGGAAGAGATTATATTCCAAGTAACAAGGTTAGATGGAAGTAAGAAGCAAGTCAGAAGCACAATAGAGAAAACGTCAGTATATTTATAGTTTTTTTACATGAGAAGATTCTAGAGTATTGTCCAACTGTCGACTAGTGCTGATTGGATAAGAATTAGCCAATCAGCGTGCACCAAAGCAATCGTGCATTGAGCTTGCTTTAATCCAGTCTATTTTCCGCTAACACTTTGTCATCCTACAACTCTGCATACAACGCCAATAGCTCTTACAATTTTACTGCCGGTCCAAATCCCGGGCTAAGGAGGAGTGTTGGACATACAATCAGAAACTCCGTCCCATAGAAATCAATCATGCAAAAATACGCTAACCAGAGTAAACCACTTGAACTCTTCTCTCCAAGTTGAAGGAAAAATTATGAAATACGCGATTCCTCGGATGTCACGAAGCCGATGCTCATTCTAACAACCAAATCAACAATTAATATTGAGTTTTTGATTGAGATCATGAACCGATTGATGTTAGACCACCTTTAGAAACCTAGAAACACTGGACGGCCGTTTCGTCCTATTTTGGGACTCCTCAGCATTGCGAATCCACGATCCCGCTCGCGGGATTCAAACGCAGGGCCTTCGGTCTCGAGTGCGAACGCTTAACCTACTGGACCACTGAGCCGGTATCCAATGGTGATAGTGTCTAACATTAACGAATCCACGAAATTGCGCGACCATCTTCCATCGTACTGGGGTAGATACCTATCTCTACCCAACATGGATTAGCTCCACTGATCACGGCTTCTCACTAGAACTCCAAGAATTAGCACGTGTTGATTACTGGTATATACGTGGATTAGCTCCACTGATCACGGCTTCTCACTAGAACTCCGAGAATTCCCTCACGAAGCTAGTCACTAGTGATCAGTGGAGCTAATCCATGTATATACTAGTAATCAACATGTGCTAATTCTTGGAGTTCTAGTGAGAAGCCGTGATCAGTGGAGCTAATCCATGTTGGGTAGAGATAGGTATCTACCCCAGTACGATGGAAGATGGTCGCGCAATTTCGTGGATTCGTTAATGTTAGACACTATCACCATTGGATGCCGGCTCAGTGGTCCAGTAGGTTAAGCGTTCGCACTCGAGACCGAAGGCCCTGCGTTTGAATCCCGCGAGCGGGATCGTGGATTCGCACTGCTGAGGAGTCCCAAAATAGGACGAAACGGCCATCCAGTGTTTCTAGGTTTCTAAAGGTGGTCTAACATCAATCGGTTCATGACCTCAATCAAAGACTGAATAATCTCCACAATGTACTAGTAATTAATTTTGATACATAGAACGTCCGAGCAATGTGTAAGACTGGGAGGACTAGTCAAATAGTTATGGAAATAAGAAGATATGCCTTGGTAGTACTCGGAATCAGCGAAACCCAATGAACTCAAGTTGAACAGCGAAGGGCAGATACGGGAGAGATGCACATATACTCCGCTCACGAAGAGGAAAATACTCCACATACTCAGACAGTTGCACTGATGCTATCCAAAGAAGCCCGAAAAGCACTTATAGGATGGGAGTCCCATCGATCCAGAATCATCAAGGCATCCTTCAAAACAAAGGTGGGGGTCACAATGAATTTTATCCAATGCTACGCACCCACAACTGATAGCTTTGACGACGATAAGGATCAGTTCTATGAGAGACTACAATCGATCATAGCGAAGTGATCAGGAAGGGACCTGACAGTCCTGATGGAAGACCTAAACGTCAATGTCGGAGTAGACTACAACAATTATGAAGATATCATGGGACGACATGGGCTAGGAGAAATGAACGAGAATGGCGAGATACTCGTAAGTTTCTGCGCGTCCAACAAAATGGTTGTAGGCGGCACTATATTCCCACACTAATGTATACAGTAAGCAGAGCGGGTTTGACCACACCACACTAAAGAGAAGTAAATCGATCACATTTGCATCAGTTAAAAATTCAGAAAGAAAGTAGAGGACTTGAGAATCAGGACAGGAGATGACATAGCTTCAGGTCACCACCTGTTGATTGCCAAGATAAAGCTCAGTCCAAAGGGGCACTAGACAGCTGGTAGTATTTTTCATGATTGTTCTATTTCAATCTCTGTTCTTCATCCCATTAGCTTCGTTATCTGTGTTTGAGCTTTCATAGTGCACTTCTGCTCAGTGCTGCTGTGAAACGAAATGGACATACATGGTCACACACATGAGACTTTGAGAAAAAGTCTTGGACAGAGGTAAAGCTACACAACCAAGCTGTTGAAGATGCCACAGATATTTGGAGTTTGACAACACTTTAAGTGGTAACATTGTGGTGGACCAGACAAATATGAACGTGAAAAAGTATTAACCAAGTTATTAAGAGTAAATAATAATGTTAATTGTTACAAATACAATAGAAAAATTGGGACTTTACTTAAGTTCACCAAGTTGATGAGTGTCCAGATTGGGTCTGGTTCTGTAAATCCACAATCATAAATGCTTGGTAATTCCAATCAGGTTGACGAACTCTCCAGTAGTGTAATCCAATGTAAGGTATGGTATATTCCCACTTACAGTCTATAAATGTAGTCAATATTTGGTTTACATTTCAATTAATTCAATCACAAACGAAAATAGAACGAGGGATATGTGTGTGGCAATGTATTTGTTAACAAGCCACAGTATGTCACGCTATGTAGTTACACAAAGGAAAAGTGAGTTCAAGGTCATTTACTTAAAAAAATGCGTATAGTCATTTATTGACAAATGTACATAGAGTGAAAAACTTACAAAATAAATACAAATAACATTATTAACTACTTACAATATAAGCTTTGTCAGGTCTGTCTCCATAACATCTGATATGAATCGTACTCACAAAGTGAAATCAAAGGACAGAAGCGAAGAGGTTTGAGGATATATTTGATAAGCTATCAATATATCGAGGACCATCTGATCTAATCTGGCTAGCGATTGCAGTTGTTGAGCACGGTGTTCCCACTCGTGATCTAGTGCGGATGCATAACCGAGCGTCTTCAGCTAGGTGAGTCCATTAAAGCTAATGTGGTCAGCATCCAATGTTGAAGACTCGCGGAGCTATTTATTTTGAGGATTTATTTGCCGCTACACTGTTCAGCCTGGAGAGGATAATGCGACCTAAACAATCCGCCTGGGCCGAATATCTTTGCTATCTTGAAAGTACTTGTAAAACATATCCTTAGGAAATCTTGTCATGACAAGTTATGTTGATCACTTGCCTCCTCATACAGAGAAGCGCCTAATGCAGGCGTTCCAGTCTCAATTTCCTGTACGCAGGTGTTCGATGAAGTATGGGCGATTTGATTGGTTGATGAAATACAGTAACAAAGTGATGTATAAACAGATGAGGTATAGATAAAAGTTATGGTAGGCTTCTAGCAGTGGCGTAATGGCAGTTCAGCTGACGTTTGGTTTGAGAAACATGTCATAGGACTTTTAAGGCGTGAAGCAATGGCTGAAGTGGAAGGACGGCTATAGACTATCTTTTGAAATTAGTTTGAAGAGAGTGGACTTCATGAAATGAGAGTATGACCTTCCTAGTTTTTGAAGGCAGCAAGGCATTGTTACTAATGAGAAAAAAGAATAACAGAGACCAAATTAATGACACCAGTGGTCCTAAGAATAAAACCACTGACCTATACTTGGAGTTGTGTAAGTCGTATAACTAGACCAGTCTTCGATACGCAACCAAATCCCACTGGTTGGGCGTTTCTCCCCAGTAGCCACTTTGATGATTGCACCGTAAGACATCGTTGTATGACATCGGATATCTTTTACTTAATTTACAAACTTTTCCTCTTTCTGTCAATTGAACACTTAACCACTGGTGTCAACTTAAGGCTAACTAGGAAGTGGTTGTTTTAGTTCACCTGCGATCAGCTGATGATGGCATCATCCATAAACATCTTGAAAGCCGACTCTGTTCTTCGTCTCAGTAGGTTTGGGTTATAGAATTATTTAGCTTATTTTCAAAGGTACTTTTTTAAAACGTTGGAAACCGGCATGGCTAGTTCTTTATGGGAATGGTGAGCTGCGGTACTTTGAAAGTAAGGATGATTATGTAGCGAAAGCGACTATTAATGTTCCACGAATATGCAGAGAAATTCTATCTGGTCACGTAAGTTAATGGAAATTTATGCTAAAGCTTAAGTATATCACTATGTTTTTAAGTTAGCTCTTATAATATATTGCGTCTATAGTGGTTCTTACAGATAATTATAAGGATTGGTATTTCAAAAAGTTGAAGCCCTCTAATATTTAATTTCGGTTACTAGTATGAGTTGTTTATGAGAATTTACATATAGATGTCTGTTGACTCTTACAAATCATATGAACTAAGGTGGGCGTACGTCTGCGAAATATAATTAAACGAAAAGCAATTAATTTGATGTGCAGATAAGCCACGGCAGATATTACATCCTACCTGTTTGACTGACTAACACCTGGTATACGTTTGTGGAATTATGGGTGGATGTCTTCAGTTTTCAGAACGAATAAAGTAGGTTGGTTGATCTGTATTGCAACTTGTTTCCCAGTAGTCAGTCAGTCAGTAACAACGTAGAACTTCGTACGTACGTACATCAGTTCGAGTTGCCTTACCACATTAGCACAGAGATGCAGTAGTCGATTCAAATCCCGTAGTGGTAGAGGTAATAAGAGTATAGGCAGTAATCGAGAGGATATCACTTCCTGGCTGCCCACACCGTGGAAGGGTATTTCTTGAGGAACCTGAAAAGCAAATTGGATTAGTGTTGGTCTTAAAGACCTGGGAGCGTGACCGCAGAGCTCAAGGGACGACTGCTTGAGGCTGGTCGCGCACGGCCTTTTCGTGGAAGGTTTTTAATGTGTTAGCTCCGTTCTTCAAAGGGCCTTACCGCCGGAGACGGAAATCCGTGAGGTAAGGTGAGGTGTAACATTTTTAGGATCGAGCTTTTCTAACCCCACTCCTCCTTGTGGGAAGGCAACATCGCTGCAGATGCTGGTTGTCCGAGGGAAACACCTCACTGCTGTCACACCCCTCTACAGTCAGCAGTACGACTTCGCCCTCAGACCTTGAGTTGCTGCTTTTAGTATTACCGTTCTCCAATCGACCTGCCTGGCATGGTAGAACCTACAGGAACATATGTTCCAGCCAATATAGCTCGGTTGGGTCATCACGATAGGCAAGCCCGACCACCGCGTCAAGGTAGCAGCTTCGGTCGGGATTTCCCAGTAGAGATGAAACTTCTGGAATGTGTTCACTAATAGGCCTGATAATAGTCGTCCAAGTAGGGCGTCCCAGCTGTTGACTCCTTGATTAGAAAAGCGAAATCCCATTGAGTTTATTTGATCGCGATTTTAAACCTTTCCGTGACCTCAAAGATGATTATTTCTACAGGCATCAAAAAGGTACTATATGTTGATACTCAAATTGCTATTCAAGGTCACCTCGCGTTATACAATGAGGGAAGGTTCCAGCGTCGTGATCACTCATCGTAGAAGAGTTTAGAAAGACTCGTCATTAACTTAGTTCCCACGCATTGAACACACTCGAGTGTGGTGGCATCCTTGGTAAGGCATGGACTAGACGAACAAATCCAATGCTCCAAGTTAGGTCTCACATTAGGTGTGGTCTGAAGTCTAAAATATATATTCAAAACATTTGAATGCTCAGCCAAGTGACCATAACACTCGGATACCTTTGGGAGCTGGTGCATTGCGACTCACAGTTGCTTCTAAGTCATGACTCAGTTACTCCTAGGCCTCGTTTGGAGCGGTGTGCGATCGGTGGCATACCGGGTACCATTGCCACGTCCAATGTTTGTTCTAGGATTAGTCTCCAAATCCCAATTTTTAGACCATCTAATTAGTTCGTTAAAGTCAACTTGGAGATCAAGATGATCACTCCCACTAAGTATTGTTTTTTAAAGTTTAACATTATCCGCAAATAGGTGTCGATGACTTAGACAGTCTTGGTAATTTTTTGACATATATATATATATATATAAAACCTAATATTGTGCCTTTATATACACTTTTTAACCAGTTCCCATTTACCCTCATTCTATCTTTGGCCATAGAAAGTTCCTTGTCCACTCTTGTATAGCATTTGTTATTCCAAAGCTGGAGACCGTGAGTAAGATATCTTTCCAAATATACTGATAAAATCCATGAACATTACGTCAACAGACAAAGCGATAGCTTTGCTTGTTGTCCAATTTTCTATCTCAACTAATAAATTAATCAAGCATAAATGTCTTTCGAAACCTGTGTTGCTCATGAGTTAACAGATCGTATAATTCTACATAACGTAGTAGCGTAGACTAAATTATTTCCTCGATTCTGAATACGTTGCTGAAATGATACTATTAAGTGGTAGTACGAGACGAAATAATGGTAAAACATTGCTCATTTGCCTTTTGATTGTGAAATCGCATTTTCTGGAGAAACGTTTACTCGCTAACTTTTCATAAACGACTTGTATAGTAGCGTATCTTCATTTATCGGACACTGTTAAACTAAACTATGTTGCCGAATCAATCAGGGTTGATATCTACACTTCGAGGTCATGCTTAGATCTAACTTAAATTCCTCGATATCGACAAAACACTTGTTATAGATAGATGGATAGATCTATGAGCAATTTTAATGAGAATACTGTAATTGGCTATCTCCAGAGCGAGTATGCAATAGGAAGTTGGAATGGGATTGGGTAAATGGTTTTTGATTTAATTGTAGTGTTTTTTAGAATTCGAGATAAAAAGCGACACGCATCAACAGTTTTTTCGATAATAAAAAAGATGCGTTCATACAGGGACCACAGTGTGTACTGAAGACGGGAGTCTACAGTGTTTTTTCCTGAAAGATTACGATATCAGTGTAAAGTCATTATCTACCAACGAACCCGTAGATTTTATTAGTAGGGTCCACATTAGTAACATAGAAGTGTGGAGGCAGTTGGACAGTTATTTGTACACATATAAAGGTTTCCGAGGAAAAAAGCTTTTTAGTCACGTTAATGAATTCCCTTACCAAACATTCTTTAATTTTAAAACAGTAACTCATTCTGAATACAGGGAAGCTCATTAGTGGTGCAAAAACTGTATGCATTTCATGTCTTTTTTCTCCGTGTTATGACTCATTCTTTCATATCTCCTTTTTATGACTGGTCCAATTGACATCACTTTTTAGAGATCATTTATGTCAGTTAATTTTGGCGACATTAGTTTTGCCTTGAACATATACTAGATGGCATCGTCCAAATAAGTGATATGTGGTTACTAGAAATTGTTGCAAGATGTATCAGTTAATTTCGCTAGATCCACGTTCTCGTCATGTATGTTTATGTTCACATTTAGCCTTCTTTGCCCAAAGTTATCCTCACCAGAATATTCTCTGGAACTGCTTTGGAATTGATATCACTTGAAGTGTTTGGAGATATCATTAATCAATGATAAATAATGTATGCAATCCAATTCGTCTGATAGGGACGTTGAAAAAATGTAGTCTTATAAACCTCTTGAGTCAAGCTGAAGCGCTTACGTTATTCAATTACGGTCTGTGCTCACTAGACCGTGTAATTATGTTGATGAGTGGTAAACAACACAAAACCTTGCTGGCTTTCCTTGACAAAATAACTCAAGTAATATTTTCGTCTAAGTAGTCGAAAATAGTCTCTTACGCATTTCTTCTATATAAAAACAACCAACCATACGTTTTGGGCATCCTGTCAAAATATGGGTAACTTAGAACATTGTTTGTTCATTTCAATATTGTATTAGTACCTTTTTCGATTCTGTCCGTTATAGTACCTATTTCGTTACTCAAAACTCAACTATCACAGTACTCTTTGAATTTTAATCTTTTTAATCTCTCCTCTGTTTTTGTAGCGAAATATCGATCCACCTAAAGATCGTTCTAACGAGTGCATTTTCGGCCTCAGGACAGATGAATCTAATTGGTATTTCTGCGCCCAGTCACCTGATGACGCAGTAGTATGGCGTCTTGCTTTATCTGAAGTAAAAGGGATGTCCATCCCTCGCTATCGAGTTCGTATGCCACCTCCAGAAGCTCCACCACCAGGATATACAGATGGCACAAACTACTATCAATACGCATGTCCTGCTGAAACCACAGTTCCTTTATACCAAGCTTCTGGAGGAATGCGGGAAGTACCTGTAAGCAACAGGTCCATAATGAATACTGTTAATCCTGTATTTCCTTTATATTGTAACTTAACATGGAAAGGGTATACATATAATTTGTGTCTGGTAGTGTCACTGCGCCATAAACCTAATTCCTCATTGAAAAGTCCTTTGCTATGGGTATAGAAAGCATCTTCAGTACAGCTTTATAAAATCATAGTAGCGCTGCAGATGCAGTTTTTACTTTGAATAAATGGAAATAAACATCAAATTTCCCATGACGTTCACTGTGATAAAATATAAAAGTTGTTCTTGGAGAAATTCGTTACAGTGATATAAGTACATCTACAAATCAAATGTTATCAATAGGCTCGAGCTTCACCTTTTTTCACTCCATTAGTCGAATAATATCAGGAAAGGTATGGTAACTTACTTTTACGCAAATTGCTGTATGACCAGTAAATTGAAGTCATTTTTCTTGGTAAAGAAGCAATCAATTTCTTGGTCTACACAAATTAATTCTCGACAAGACGTTCCAAAAAAGTAGTGAGCTTGATAATAACTAGTATTAATTAACAGATAGTTGATTAAAACACCATATAGTTAATAAATTAGTGATAGGCTTAGGAACTTGATTCAGAGCAAATATAGGTAACAGGATAGAACTATTTGATAATCCTGATAAATAAAGGAAGTTACATGAAATGAAGTTTCTTAAGATTTTGGTAAGCTCATCATAGTCAGGTAATATGTCAGATTAATCTGAATCTTCAGTTTCTTTAACATACCATAAGTGATAATTCCCCTTTCAACAATTATCTAGGGATTTCATCTGCTACTCATGATGGTGCACAAACGTAACAAAAATAAAGAAACTAAATAGTGAACAATCCCCGCACTGTGAAACGTGGATGTACTTAAGCTAATTTTACTTAGTTTGAAGGTATTGTATTACCAGCATATGAAGTATGTTTTGTTATGGTGAGCAAATAAAACTCTTACACAAAAGCTAAAATGATATCCTTATTTTTGACATAAACTTCCTATTCTGTCAAAGTAGTTCATATAGTGAGACAACATGGGCCGACAGGATATTTAATTAATGTTTTGACTGATATCTGCCTTCGCATTGTTTTTTGTTCATTCAGTTCTTGTTGATAGTTTGTAATGCTCAGTACATCTTCACCTCGTACTGCTGGTAATCCCATTCACTTTTGGATTGGCACATAACTTTAAAGTGTAATAGATGTTTGTTGGAGGCATTTGATAGATAATGTTTTAAGATTTATTCTCATCAAATTAAGTAAACCTGCATAATAATCTGTGAAATTCAAGTACTCATGGTAGTGTTATGTAGCCTCTCTTTCTAGCATCCAAAAACATGGATTCTGATGCGATCATACCACCTTTCGGGAAACATTCGGACTAATAACATATTACTTATCCAAAATATTGTTAATCATAAATTCACTTGATATTGTTAACTTGAATCTTTCCATTGTTATTTAGAACTGCAATTGATCAGTCTGTTATTGGCATATGTTCATACTGTGCGTATTGGCTTAATTTACAAACATCAGCACTCAGTAGCTAAGTAGATAACACGATGGCATTTGAAGCGAACAGTACTGGGTTCAAGTCTCAGAGTGAACATCAACTCTGAGATGTAGATACATCCAGCTGACAAGTTCCAAATAGGACGAAACGCGCGTCCTAGATTCCACTATCCATCTTTGCTTATAATCAATGTGCAAGTACACTATAATGGTGTTCATTTGATTACTCACCAACGTGATTAACTTTGGTTAGTTATTGATGTCTGTGCAAGTTATCGGACCATATTATTAAATTGATCATTTTTGTAGAGTGACAACATATAAATTTCTAACCATAGTTATTTTATATTGATTACTTAAAATGACCTATCTTGTTTTATTTTATACTCAGTCGAATATATGAATGTATTGAAATGTCTATAATTTAATTATTTCCCATAGATTATATACCGTGGTTCAGATGGTGAATATATAATGCCACGACAGATTATTGAACATCCTGATGGATCGCGTACAATTATCCTTGGTGATGGAAATGAAATTCCATGTCATTGTCGACATGGTTATTATTGTGGATGTGGTTATGGTTTTGGTGATGCAGCTTTATTAGGTTTAGCAGCTGGTACACTTATGTGGTCTCCATTCTTATGGTTCCCATTTTTCTGGTGTTGATGAAGTCGATGATGAGGACGAAGTTGATTTACACAAACTGTCATAATTCTGTCACAACACTCACATTTGTTTTTCGCTTTTTATCCATTTTGTTGAGGTTGTTTTTTGTTATAAGGTGGTAGTTGACTAATAAATATTTTCATTTCATGCTATCATGGTATCATTTTTCATCATTTTTCTTGTGTTATCTCTGTATCTCTCTCAAGTGATATTCAGGTGTGTTTTTTTTTGTTAAATGGTAATTTCTACTTGTTTTGTTTTCTCATTCACTGTGATGATATCCACCTATTTCTTTATCTTATTAACATAAGAATATTTTTGGAATACTTTGTTTTATTCATATTGTGAATTGTGCTCTTCTGATAAAACAGTAATAATAATAATAAATATCAGAAGGGGTTTTGTGGATATTATAGTCATTTTAATAGTTGAGATCATGAATCCATTGAAGTTAGATCATCATGAAAAACTTGGGCTCACTAGACGGTTGTTTCGTCGTAGTATGGTACTCTTCAGCAGTGCGCATTCATGATCAGCTCAGTGGTCTAGAGGTTAAGCACTCGTGTGCGGGACTTGGGTTCGAATCTCGCCAGGCGGGATCGTGAATGTGCGCAATACTGAGGTGTCCCATACTAGGATAAAACGGCTATCCAGTGCTTCCAGATTTTCTATGGTGGTGTAGCTTCAATTGATTCATGAATTGAACTATTAAAAATTATTTTAAGTTGTTGGATTAACGGAAATGTTAAGTGGGCAAAAAGAACTTATTTGTTTTTTCATCAATTCCAGTTTAAACAGGTAAATAGTACGTTTATATAGTTTGTCTTAGTTTTCGTTTAAAGAAATAACGGTTTAGATTACAGTTGTCTCGTAATTTTCCTGTCTTGATGCATAACTTATAAGTTAGTTGAGTGTATTGTAGTACCAAGTTCAGATTACAAAAGAAACTCCAGTTTTCTGTATAGTAGAAATCACGAACTACTGACTGAGGTGCGAAACAGAAATTAGATATCGACTCACTGATCTAGAGGTTGAGCGTCTATGTGTGGGACTAAAGGTTTTGGGTTCAATCCATGCGTGCAGGATCATGGGTTCTCACTGATGCGAAGTCCTGTATTAGGACAAGATGGGGTTCTAGCGCTTCACTTGTGGTCTAGCTTAGATCAGTCCTTCAATTTAATAAAATTCAACAATGTAACCCAGTAATGAAAATGAATCGACATATTAGTGAGATTGGTTTAAGAATAGTTTCATATGAGTAGTACATTAGTCTGCTTAAAACTGCTAGCAGCAACGCAACTGCATCTTATCATTAATGGTTCGATGGTGTTATTGAATATTTGTTTGTCCACTTGTTTTTCGTTCATCGTTTCTCCTCCAGCGCTGTTGAAATTTAGATAAATCTGTTTCATTGTGTTGAGTGATAAACAGTAATGATTTCAACGCGGAGGCCATGAAGTAGGTCATTATGAAAAGTGACAACTCTCAGTTTGGTTGTGCACAGCTTTCACTGTTTTCCAGGAGCAAAACTATTTTAGTCAGTCGGCTAAAACGTAGGACCAGGCACATACATGCATCGGTTCAAGTTCCCGTGCCTCATTAGCACAACAAGATGAACGCCGAATTCATAGAAGTAGTTAATTCAGTGGTGGTAATATATGGAAGAAAGATTGCATATAAGGACATAGTACAAAGAGGAAGATATGATGCGATTTTAATCTCAGTTTAAGGAAAGACAGTGTATACACCTACGCCATTGTGATCGATTCTGAGCCATGTCACAAGTTCTACCGTTGGTTACGATAGTCGCGCGAACCCCAACCAAGTATTCTGCATCTACCAACATGATTCAGACCAGAAGTTAGTGGCTTCAAGGACTGATGCCACATTTTGCTTTGGCCGCCCCGAACTTTCTTCCAATCATCTCCAAAACTAGTCAGCATTGCGCGTCGTGGTAATCGCTGTTCAGGCATACGTAACACGCGGCTCAACCATCTCAGTCGACGAAGATTCACAACCTCATGACCTGATTTACCATCATTTCCTAATACCCTCCGTCTAACCTCGCTATTAATTACCCGGTGACCCCAGCAGATGCGAGCAATATTTCTAAGGTATCTGTGGTCAAATATCAGTAGCTTACGAGTATCTTCTACTCTTAATGGCCACGTTTCGCAGCCATAAATAGAACAGAACGAACTGCTTCGCGGTATACTCGTCCCTTAATTGATGAACGGATACCTCACAACCGCCATAGGTAACGTAAATTGGCGAAAGCCAAACGAGCTTCCTGGATCCGTGAAGAGATTTCGTCAGAAATCAACCCACTAGGGCTGGCCAGACTTCCAAGATAAGTGAAGTTGTCGACTCTCCCTATCCTTAGTTCAGGTGTTGACGCAAGTCAGTCCTGAAGCAACACCACCTTTCAGTGACAGATACTGCTTTTAAGTCAAGAAAAACTATCATTGTCGAACGCCGTTAAGCATGTGTTCTGGAACCTGACGAATGGTGAATATGTGGTCAATGCAGCTACCACCAGGTCTGAAGCTACAGCTGTTCCTATGTCTTTCCAAGCAACACCTGGGTCAGTCCCGTTTTCAGAAAATATTAAATGTGACCTCAGTTGTTCCTGGGATCTACTTTTGGCTTTCTCGTCACTGAGTTTCAATGTAATGGGCGAGGCGCAAGCAAATGCATGCTTGTACTAGACCATGATCGGAGTCCAAACAGGTATTCCAGAGCGAGCGAGTCTTCCATCGAGCGTCTCCAATGATGACTGATGGCGACATGATCTATTTGAGTCCATCGTTGGTTTAGTGCAGGGGGTCACCATGTTAAACGATGTCTCTCCTTATGCTTAAAATTAGTGCTTGCTAAAAATAAACGATCGTCTGGGCACAGTTGCAGCAGATCACCATTATCTGTTTGCTGAGCCGGGATATTAAAATACCCAGCTAAATATCTTTCTGTTTGGCTTAAGCTACCTATCTGGGCATTAAAGTCACCTGCTACGAATACTATGTCCGAGCGTTTAGCTTTACGAAGAAGTTCAGAAAGCTTTCTGTAACATTCATCTTTCACTTCACCCGAGCTGCAGTCAGTGGGAGCGTAGGCAGAAACGACGAAAAGGCAAGGACGTGTGTCCCTACCCCTTCGGAGTTCTTACGGAGCCGTTTAGCCGAACAGAATATTGGCGACTGTTAACAGGAATCCATTCTAATAGTGCTTGTTCTGTCCTCGTACTCAGTGCTATGCCTGCACCTGCTAGTCCGTAAGAACTAGCCATCGGTTTGCCAGAAACATGTGGGATATATATAGTCGGCTCTCCGTCTTGGCAAGAAGAGGCCAGGTGAATGACCGCATTAGTACCCTTTATTCGTGTTTCGGAGACACAGCATGCATCAATGGTACGAGACTCCAGGGTTTTAGCGCAGGACGCCTGCTGGCAGATTTGACACAGTGCGCGTAAGTTGGAGGCTCCAATGTGTAGTTTGGAGCGAGGTCTCAGAAGACCTGACATAGTGTTTTGTGCACTAGAATTGTCGGCCATGGTGACGCTTGAGGAGAAAGTCAAAAGAGAAAGTTAAGTATTGAAAGTCGACGTAGTAGGGATAATAGGAATTGAAGAGGGAGATTGAATATGAATACAGAGATTTTGAGTGCTGTTAGGGGTATGCGGGAGGTTATCATTTACCGGTTGCACACACCGTGAAAGGGTTCTTCTCGAGGTATCCGAAAGAGAAATTCTGTTGAGGGTGGTCTTAGTGACCTGAGAGTGTGACCGAAGTTCTCAAGTGACAACTGCTTGAGGTCGGTCACACACCACATTTTGAGAGTAATTTACGTGTTAGCACCGTACTTGTTGAAACCTCACTGCTGCAGACAGAAATTCGTGCAATAAAGCAAGGTGTGTATTTTTAGGGTCGACATTTTCTAACCACACCCCTCCTTGTGGGAAGGCAGCATCACTGTAATGCTGGTGGTCCGAAGGAATCACATTACTGTCGTCATATCTCTGTATAGTCAGCAGTAGGACTTCGCCTTCGGAACTTGAGTTTGCTGCTTTTAGTCATACCGTTCTTCATTCGACCTGTCTGGCATCGTAAGAGTTTGAGGAATGACTGTTCTAGCTAGTATAGTTCGATTGGTTCATCACGATAGGTAAGTCCGACCACCATGCCAAGATAGCAGCAACGGTATAACTAATGCATTCGAAAATCTACGTTTAGACAATTGTAACCACTAAAAGTTCGTAATACTAAGATGGAGTTTAGATTAGTGTGCAAAGTGATAATAATTTAATCGGTATTTCAGTTATCAGCTTTACGTGATTCCATGAATATTTCAGCAAATAGATGGCGTCAATCAAAATGATGCAGTTTACATTAGATAAGAAACACTAGAAATCAGTATTCCAATTCACAACATTTTACTAGTTATGGTTTTCTTTTCATGCCAGTTAAATTATAGACTTTCATTCTCTACCATGTGTAATTGATTTCTTTACAATTATTATCTAATAAATATCTACAAAGTTCATAACCTTTCAAAGCATCACTTGCACGTTTTGTCAAACTATGATAATCAGAAAAGAGCATCAGAAAATTGGTTTTTATTTTGTGTGTGTGTGGAATATCTTAATAAGAAAACGAATAATATAATTTGGTCATTCTGTAAACAAGAATACTCTTCTCAAGGTAACTTTAAGGTATTTCACTATATTATAAAATATATCATCAATACTTAGTTACTTTACTTATTTTCTCTGGTTAGCACTTTTTTTTAGCGAGTTAGTTTTCTATGGAATGGGGTCGCTAACCCCATGCCCAACCCTTCTCATTTATCCGTGCTTGGGACCGGCAGTAGCCTCAGAGGGGCCTTAGGCAGAGTTTAAAAAAAATTAAAACTAGGCACCCTTAAATCCAGACAACAGAAATGTGAACTAGCTTTAAAATGGTTTAGAGTAATATGGTGGTACTGTGGTGTGTGCTACTTATATTGACATAAGTAGTATATGATGTTAGTCGTGTTTGGCAGCAGAGAGACAAGAGGATCAAACAGTAAACAATGGAAACAGAATGCAATTTGTATGAAAATGCATGAACAATTAAGTCATTTTAAGACAGTCGATGGACATTTTGCAAATTGAGCATTTAATATAGGATTGTTAGGTTTGTGTTGAATACATTCGATTGTCTCCACCCATGTTCTGTTCACTACAGTACCTGTACTTTTGTTTGTGTTTGACCGACGGATCCGAAGTATTTTGTGTAAGCAACTTTTAATAAACATTCGTATCTTTTGGATGATAGCTGTCGTATTTCTCCAAGTTTCTGCCCCAAACAGCTGAACTGCCATGACATTTGTATTGAAAATTCAGACTTTAGTGTTGATTGACAGTTGTTTTGAGTTCCAGATGTTCTTTAGTTGTAGACATACTTCTCTTGTTTTGCTGATTCGCGCCTTTACATCTGTATCAGATCCACCGTGTTCATCAATGATGCTGCCCAGATATGTAAAGGTTTTTACATCTTCAAAAGCTTCCCCGTCAAGTGTGGTGCATACTGTGTTGTGTATTCAGTGTTAGCATGCAGCTACTGTTTTTGAGAGATGTAGTTAATCGGGACATTGTATTAGCTGAGTTTATCGAAGTATCATTACTGCAAGTAATGTGATCAAACTAGGCTATTTCAGTTGCCTGTAAAACGGAACATTAAAGCTTCAATTGTTGTTAAATCAGTAGATCTTGATTTTTATGCATTCATTCAATCTATAACAGATATAAACAA